GAAGTTCTGAACAGGGCAATTGGGCAAGAGAAAAAAATAAGGGGTATTCAAATAGGAAGAGAGGAAGTCAAATTGTCTGTTTGCAGATGACATGATTGTGTGTTTAGAAAACCCTATCATCTCTGCCCAAAATCTCCTTAAGCTGATAAGCAACTTCAGCCAATTCCTAGGATAAAAAAATCAATGTGCAAAAATCACAAGCATTCATATACACCAGTAACAGCCAAATCATGAGTGAACTGCCATTCACAACTGCTACAAAGAGAATAAAATACCTAGTAATACAACTAACAAGTGCAGAACCCTTCAAGGAGAACTACAAACCACTGCTCAAGGGATAAGAGAGGACACAGATGGAAAAACATTCTATGCTCATTGTTAGGAAGAATCAATATCACGAAAATGCCATACTGCCCAAAGTAATTTATATATTCAATACTGTCCCCATCAAGCTACCTTTGACTTTCTTCACATAATTGGAAAAAAGACACCTTAAACTTCATATTGAACCAAAAAGAGCCCACAAAATCCTAAGCAAAAAGGGAAAACAAACTGGAGGCATCACACTACCTGACTTCAAACTATACTAGAGGGCTATAATAATCAAAACATCATGGTACTGGTACCAAAACAGATATATAGACCAATGGAACAGAACAGAGGCCTCAAAAATGACACCACACATCTACAACCACCTATCTTTGACAAACATGACTAAAACAAGCAATGGGAAAAGGATTCCCTGTTTAATAAATGGTATTGGAAAAATTGGCTAGCCATATGCAGAAACCTAAAACTGGACCCCTTCCTTACACGTTATACAAAAATTAACTCAAAATGGATTAAAGACTTAAACGTAAGACCTAAAACCATAAAAACCCTAGAAGAAAACCTAGGGCATAGGTTTTCTTCTATCCCATTCAGGGCATAGGCATGGGCAAAGACTTCATAACTAAAACACCAAAGGCAATGGCAGCAAAGCCAAAATTGACAAACGGGATGTAATTAAACTAAGGAGCTACTGCACAGCAAAAGAAACTATCATCAAAAAGTGGGTGAATAATATGAACTAATACTTCTCAAAAGAAGACATTTTTGCAGCCAAAAACATGAAAAAAAAGCTCATCATCACTGGTCATTAGAGAAATACAAATCAAACCCACAGTGAGATACCAACTCACGCCAGTTAGAATGGCAGTCATTATAAAGTCAGGAAACAACAGATGCTGGAGAGGATGTGGAGAAAGGGGAATGCTTTTACACTGTTGGTGGGAGTATAAATTAATTCAACCATTGTGGAAGACAGTGTGGAGATTCCTCAAGGATCTAGAACTAGAAATACCATATATACCCAGCATTACTGGGTATATACCTATAGGATTATAAATCATTCTACTATAAAGATGTGCACACATATGTTCATTGTGTCACTGTTCACAACAACAAAGACTTGAACCAACCCAAATGCCCATCAGTGATAGACTAGATGAAGAAAATGTGGCACGTATATACACCATCAAATACTATGTAGCCATAAAAAAGAATGAGTTCATATCCTTTGCAGGGACATGGAGGAAGCTAGAAACCATCATTCTCAGCAAACTAACACAGGAACAGAAAACCAAACACTGCATGTTGTCACTCATAAGTGGGTGTGGAACAATGAGAACACATGGACACAGGGAGGGGAACATCACACACTGCATCCTGTCAGAGTGGTGGGCTAGAGAGGGATGGAGAAATACCTAATGTAGATGATGGGTTGATGGGTGCAGCAAACCACCATGGCACATGTACACCTGCATAACACACCTGCACATTCTGCACATGTAACCCAGAACTTAAAGTATAATTTTTAAAAAATTAGTCGGGCGCAGTGGCTCACACGTGTAAGCCCAGCACTTTGGGATATCAAGTCAGGCAGATCACGAGATCAGGAAATCGAGACTATCCTGGCCCCGTCGCTACTAAAAATACAAAAAAATTGGCTGGGCATGGTGGCACATGCCTGTAGTCCCAGCTACTCGGGAGGCTGAGGCAGAAGAATTGATTGAACCTGGGAAGCGGAGATTGCAGTGAACCAAGATCACACCACTGCACTACAGCCTGGGCCACAGTGTGAGACTCCTCACAAAAAAAAAAAAAAAAAAAATTAAAAACAAAACCATATAAATTTTAACAATGAAAAAAGATAAATCTGCAAAGGATACACTTAAAATGTATGTGCTTTTTGTGTGTAAAGTATATATCCATTTAAAAAGTTAAAAAGAACAAAAATTGAATTTCTCAAATGGAAAGATTTTTGTGGGAGTGGAATTTTAAGGAATCTTTATATAAGTGTTTTTAATGTATGAATTAGAGTAATATAAAAACATTTTACTAATTCAAAGTCAATATAATACACCAGAAAAAAAATATATGCTTTTAAGCTTTTTATAGTGCTATTGCCATTCTTAGTTGAGCATAGATTGAATATGTGTTTTTAATACTATTAATACATAATAATTAGTATTAGCAGTTAGAAGGTATAAAATCACTATAATCCCACCACCTAGTTCTATTTTGCTCTATATCCTTCCAGATTTTTTCCTATTCGTACATATAGAGAAATGCAAATAGTATGGGTATGGTTCTCATGTGTGTACACATGTAAATACATGTTTGTTCATGTATGTATGCATGTATATGATTTTAAAGCATTTCTAACCTAACAGTGTGTGTGTATAATCTTTTCATATCAGTATGTATCTTTATTGGCATTTCTATTGTACTATTTCAAAATAGAGGCATTATAATAGTAATAATTATTTATCAAAAGTTTAATCTGTTCTAGGGGACTGTGCAAAGTGTTTTATATGCATTATTTATTTGATTTTCATCACAACCAAAAGAGTAGGTACTATTATTCCCATTTTATAGATAAAGAAATTGATACTAAGAAAAATGAAATAATGTGCCCAGGCTTACCAACCACCATACAGAAGTGCCATCATTAGAACTTATTGCCTCTGTATTTGGGTCCTAGGCTCTTACTAATCATTCCTAATTTTTTCACAAATCCCCTACTGTTAGTATGCCAGTTTTTTTTTTTTTTCAGTTTCTTCTATAATATGTAAGTAGCAGGAAGTTTATTTTTTTCTCATACATCTTTGCTTATTAAGTATTCAGTTATCTCTATAGGATAATTCATTCAAATGCAAGGATTTTAAAAATATATATACATATTCAGTTTTAATTATATTCTTAAAGGTTCTTTTAGGTAGGTGCAAATAAACAGAAATTTTCTCTATTAGTCTAAAACCAGATTTCTATGTTTCTATGATTTACCAATGAATGTTTAATCATCAAATGGTGAATACACTAATTAATTCATGAAATAATTGTTAAACAACTGCCTCTCTACCATGGGCAGTTATAGGTGCTAGGAACAGTGAGGAGAACAAAGTAGACAAAAATCTTTGCTCTAATGAAGCTTACATTTTATGTGAGGAGTCAGACAGTAAACATATATAAGGTTTAATAAGTAAAATTAAATGAGACAACATATGTAAAGTGCTTAGCCTAATGCCTAGCACATCATAATATAATGACTGACTACTATTTACCCTTTAAGACTCAATTCAAATACAGCTGCCTTAGGAATTCTGTGGCCCATCTCCTCTTCAAGTTGGGTGTTCTCACTTTCCTCACTACTCATGGGCCATCTCTTTATCATAGCACACCATATTAGAATTCTCATTCACTTGACTGCTTCATTCAGGAAACCAGAACTTCCTAACTGGTGTACCAGGAACAGTATATCACAAGATAGTAACAGCTGGAAATGTTACTCAAAATCATTTTTCAGCCATTACAAAGGTTACGGGAATTGAAATAGTATTTGACCATTCTGTGTATGACTCTGCCTTTATCACCTTTCTTAAGTTGAGTCATCATCTTTGGTTTTTTAGAAATAATTTTAGTACTCATTCTTTTATAGCATACAATTTTTATGCTGAAACAACACCCATCACCACAGCATGTTCTGTGAGGCCTCTTCCTGAGCTTTCTGCAAATGGTCTGCATAGTTCTTTGTTCACTGATGATATCATCAAAGATGTTCTACATTTAAAATAGATTGCCTCTGATTTAATTTGCTTTTATCTTTGCATGTTTTTCAACTAATGTGGGTAAGATAGTGGGATTTTTTAGCATTGTTATAGGTAATGGGTGTTTTCATATAAAACATGAGTGTTAATTCTATCCATTTTCATTTGCCTGGTTGTTACTGCCTTTTAATGTAAACAATTAGCTAAATCTGATTCTTGTTGTAATTTCTTTTCATGATTATATCAAATAAAGGCGACACAATTAATTGTTTTCCCAAGCTCAATATGAAGGCACTGCACTACACTCTACGAAGATAGGGACTGTGTCTTTAATCGCTACCTCCCCAGGTCTTAAGACAGCAGCCAACACAGAAAGGACTCAGTACTTCATTGTCTCTACTTTATATGTATGTGTTTATTTGTGGAATGAACTACTACAAATTATAAAATGATAAAGGCCATAGAGAATTACAAATAGAATTATAGGGTGTTAACAGAAGAAAAATATACATATTTATTGAACTCTTTCTGTGCATGGGGCACTATACTATGTTGAATGCTTTAAATGTACTTTATTTAATTCTGAAAGTAACCACCTTACAAATACCTTGTGGCAAAGTTTAATGCATTAAAAAAAGTGCCAACTTCATTTTTAGCTTCTTTACCAATTGTCATACCTGGGCGTTAGAAAATGGTTCATTCATCTGGAACCTTTTAGAATGTGAGGTCAACTCAGAGCCAGGATGAACCATTATTTTCTGGATATAGAGAATGAAAGCTATGAATTACTCTAACAATCCAAGATGCCTCTTACTTTTATAGAGAAATGTTATACAAATGTTCTTGATTTTCAAGATTACCTGTTAAAAAATAATTAATTCTTGTTTTCCATTTGCTTCATGTCAATTTTAGATTACAAAACTCTTAGAAGAATTGAGAGAAGCCAGAGAAAACCATACACCAGAGATGAAACATTTCATGGGCTTAGAAATGAAAATTAAGCAGATGGAAATGAGACATGTACAAAGAGAACAGGAACTTCAACAGGTAAAGTAAATCACGTTTACATATTTATATAGGTCTTTACTTTTAAGTGCCTTTAATTTGCTACAGTTTTGTCATCCCTAGCAAAAATTATCACTTAAAGTGTTTCCAGTATATTTTGATCTTGTTAAAAATGTAATAAATTTATAACTTTTAATAGAAAATGAGATTTTATATCTCAAGTGCTTGGCGATTGGCATCCTTATATCTGGAAAAAAAGAAAAAGCTTGTATCGTGTTCTTAATTATTGATAGGCTCCTAAAAAGTTACACATCTTAACCTGGGAACAAGGCATGGTGTGCCATATTCAAGTCATTTCAGCAAATGTTTATAAGAAATAAATGTTTTAATATGATTATTTAAAATATTATATAGCTAGCACTAGTAATATTACTATACACTTAATTACAAACAGATAAATTAATAGAAATTAAAATAGCAGATGTGAGGGCATGATATGTTTTTAGGCACTTGCCTTGGTGCTGAAATTTAACTTTGTTTGAACAGTGTTATTAGTCTGCTTGGGCTGACATAACAAAGTATCATAAATTGGGTGGCTAACCAGGAGAAATTTATTCTCACAGTTCTGTAGGCCGGAAGTCCCAAATTGAGGTTTTGATCAATTAGGTTTCTGGTGAGGGCTCTCTTTCCAGCTTTCACTTAGCCACCTTTTTTCTCATTCTAACATCATCTTTCCTCAGTGTATGTGTGCAAAGGAGAGGGAGAGGGGTGAGAGATCTCTTTGGCGTCTCTTCTTATGAAAACACTAATTCCTACCAAATCAAGTCCCCAACCTTATGATCTCATTTAACCTTACTCCAAATACAGCCACTTTGAGGGTTAGGACTTCAACATATGAATTTGTGGGGGACACAGACATTCAGTCCCTAACACCGTTGGGATTTTTATACTCGTTGGGAGACAGAAAATGCTGCATCCATGCAGAGCATTATGTTTCACATGAGTTCCCCCAAAGAAACCCCAGGTTTGCCTACTTTAAGACCATGAATTGTTCCTCACCTGCCACTATGAACTATAACTTCAATGTGGAATTTTTGTATTTGCAGATAATACAGCAAACCCACCAAGTAGTAGAAACTGAGCAAAACAAAGAAGTTGAAAAATGGAAAAGACTGGCACAGTTAAAGAATCGTGAGCTGGAGAAGTTCCGCACAGAATTAGACTCAATATTAGATGTTCTCCGAGAGCTGCAGCGGCAAGGGGTGGTTGTGCCAGTTGCTTTTGAAGATGAAATGAATGCACCAGAGTATTAACTAGAAACTCAGATTTCATAATGACCTTAGGCCTTAAAAGGCCTAAAGATGGATGGGATTGTGCCACTGTCAGGACAGCTTATGAAAAACAAGTGTTCCAGTATGTTTCCAGAAAGCAAACCACCAAAGCAACATTGCAAAATAAATTGCCTTATACCAATAAGAAAAAGAAAGTGTCATTGTGTGTTTTACTGAAAATCATTAATCAGTCACATTTTGAGTGATTTATGGACAAGTTCCTTTCTGTCAGAGAAAGTCTCACTTGTATGCTATAAATAGAAAAGAAAATTGAACATACTCTGTCACATTATTATTGATAATGTGGGGTTTTTATTTTTATTTTAGATCCAGGGGGTATATGTGCTTGTTGCAATGTGGGTGTATTAAATAATGTTGGGAATTGAGCTTCTAGTGTAGCCATCTCTGAAATACTAAACATTGTACCCAATAGGTAATTTTTCAGCCCTCACTACCCCTCACACTCTTTCCTCTTTTGGAGTCCCCAATGTCTATTATCTCCATCTTTATGCCTATGTGTGCCTGTTGTTTTAGCTCACATAGGAAAATGGCCTCCAGCTCCATCCATGTTGCTGCAAATGACATTATTACATTCTTTTTTATGGTTGCATAATACCCCATGATGTATATATACCACATTTTCTTTAGACAATTGTTGGATACTTAGGTTGATTCCATGACTTTGCTATTGTAAATATTTCAGCACTAAACATACATGTGCAGGTATCTTTTTATATAAAGATTTCTGTTCCTTTGGGTAGATTCCCAGTAGTGAGATAGCTGGGTTGAATGGTAGTTCTATTTTTAGTTCTTTGAGAAATCTCCGTACTGCTTTCTATAGAGGCTGAATTAATTTATATTCCCACAAACAGAATATTCATGCTCCCTTTTCTCCACATTCACACCATCATCTGTTATTTTGTGACTTTTTAATAACCATTGTGACTGGTATAAGATGATATCTCAGTGTGGTTTTTGTATTTCTATAATGATGAGCATTTTTCATGTGTTTGTTGATCAGTTGTATTTATTTTGATAAATGTCTGTTCATGGCCTTTGCCCAGTTTTTAATAGGATTGTTTGGAGTTTTTTCTTAATTGTTTTAGTTCCTTGTAGATGCTGAATATTAGTCCTGTCTCAGAGAAATAATTTGCATATATTTTCCCCCATTATGTAGGCTGTTTATTCAGTTGATTATTTATTTTGCTGTACAGAAATCTTTAATTTTAATTCAGTCCCATTTATTATTCATTTTGTTAAATTTGCTTTTAGGGTCTTCATTGTGAATTTTTTGCCAAGGCCAAAATCCAGAAGAGTTTTTCCTAGGTTTTCTTCTAACATTATTAAGTCTTACATTTAGGTCTTTAATCCATGTTGCATTAATTTTTGTATATAATGAGAGGTAAGAATCTAGTTGTATTCTTCTGCATATGGTGAGTCGGTTTTCTCAGCACCATTTATTAAATAGAGTATTCCTTTCCCCAGTGTATATTTTTGTAAAAAGACGATAGTGTCCACTCTCACCACTCCTATTCAACACAGTATTGGCAGTCATAGCCAGAGAAATCAGACAAGAGAAAGAAAAGACATCCAAATTAGAAAAGAGAAAGTCAGATCAGTTAGTTGTAGGTATGTGGCTTTATTTCTGAGTTCTCTATTCTGTTCCATTGATCTATGTCTATTTTTGTACCACTACCATGCTGTTTTAGTTACTGGAATTGTATTGAAGTCAAGCAATGTGATGCCTCCCGATTTGTTCTTTTTTGCTCAGGAGTTCTTTGGCTATTTAGGCTTTTTTTTTCTGAGGGTGGGGGCAGGGGTTTCAGTGTGAACTTTAGGATTGTTTATTCCAATTCTTTGAAAAAAATGTGGTAATAGGAATTACATCAAATCTGTAGATTGCTTTGGGCAATATGGTCATTTAAAACAATCGTGTTGGTTGTTCAATTCATAAGCATGGGATGTTTTTTCATTTGCTTGTGTCTTCTGCAATTTCTTTGTTCCGTGTTTTGTAGTTCTCTTTTACCTCCTTGGTTAAGAGTATTCCTAAGTACTGTAGGGGAGGGAGGGGGCTGGCTATCGTAAATGGGATTGAGTTATTAATTTGGTTCTCAACTTGAATGTTACAGTGAATAAAGATGCCACTGGTTTTTATATATTGATTTTGTATCCTGAAACTTTACGGAACTCACTTAACAAGCCTTCTGGAAGAGTCTTTAGGATTTTCTAGGTATACAGTCATGTCATTAGCAAGACAGATGATTGGACTTTCTCTTTTCTAATTTGGATGTCTTTTCTTTCTCTTGTCTGATTTCTCTGGCTATGACTGCCAATACTGTGTTGAATAGGAGTGGTGAGAGTGGACACTATCGTCTTTTTTTCCAGTTCTTAGGGAAATACATTCAACTTTAACCCATGTATTATGATGTTGGCTATAGGTTTGTAACATATGGCTTTTATTATTAGGACTTATGTTCCTTCAAAGCCTAGTTTGTTGAGGGTGTTTATCATTAAGAGATGTTAGATTTTATCTAGTGTTTTTTCTGCATCTATTGAGATGATCATATAGTTTTTGTTCTTAGTTTTGTTTGTGTGATGAATCACATTTATTGATTTGTGTATGTTGAACCATCCTTCCATACCTAGAATAAAGCACATTTGATCATGATGTATTATTTTTTTGATGTGCTGTTGCATTTGGTTTGCTAGGATTTTGCTTGATGATTTTTACATCTATGTTCATCAGGAAGATTGGTCTGTAGTTCTTTTTTTCTTGTATCCTTGACTAATTTTTGGTATCACAGTGAAACTCTTATTTGTAGAATGCGTTAGGGAGGCTTCCTTTTTCAGTAAGAGTGATGCTAGCTCTTTGTATATCTGGTAGAATTTCACTGTGAAACCATGTGATCCTGGGCTTTTTGTTGTTTTTGGAAGATGTTTTATTACCAGTTTCATTTCTTTACTCATTATTGGTTAACCTAGCTAAAAGTCTGTCAATTTTGTTTATTCTTAAGAAAGTAGACCGATAGCAATACAATAATAGTAAGAGACTTCAATGAAACAACTTTTGGCTGTATTGATCCTCTGTCATTGTTTGGTCTCATTTACTTCTGCTTTGGTCTTTGTTATTTCTTATCTTCTTAGAGATTTGAATTTGGTTTGTTCTTGTTTTTCTAGTCCCTTGAGGTGTGATACTAGGTTGCTAATTTGAGATATTTCTGTCCTTTTGTGGAGGCATTTATTCTGTAAACGTTCCTCTTAGCCTTACTTTTGCTTTATCCAGGGCTTTTGGTATGTTATGTCTCTGTTTTCATTTATTTCAAAGAATTTTTCTTATTTCTCCCATAATTTTATTGTTTACCCAGAAGTCATTCAGGAGCAAGTTGTTTAGTTTTCATGTACTTGTGCAGATTTTGTCTGTTTTTGAGACAGTGTCTTGCTCTGTCACCCAGCCCAGTGTGCTATGGTGCAATTTTGGCTCACTGCAACCTTTGCCTCCTGGGTTCAAGTGATTCTCCTGTCTCAGCCTCCAAGTAGATGAAATTACAGACGCATGCCACCACACCCGGCTAACTTTTTGTGTTTTTAGTACAGACAAGGTTTCACCATGTTGGCCAGGCTGGTCTTGAACTATTGATCTCAGGTGATCCACCTGCCTTGGTCTTCCAAAGTGCTAGGATTACAGGCATGAG